TGGTGTGGTGTCAAGGCAGGTCTGGCCCCTCTCCCAGCAGAGTGGCTTGAGAGGGGCTGCAGGGGATGCTGAGCAGGCAAGGCACAGCCAGGATGGGCTCTCCTGCTCCCTCCCTGGGGTAGCTGGCAGCCCAAAGGAGCAGGTAGCCACTTCTTGCAGGGTTATCTTCAACAGGAGAGAAATTCCTAGTTCAGCTTTAACCTCCTGTGCCTCGGTGGCCTCTCTGGCTATGGGATGGGTGTGGTGTGTTCACCATTAACAGCAGGGAGGGAAGGACTGTGCTGCAGGCCTGTGTGACTTGGACTGTTCAAGCTGGAAGCAGGTGTTGGAAAAACAATGAACTTGCTATCCAACATGCAGATGTACTTTGATGTGTGCTCCAACTGTGCCACAACATATTTTTCCATCTCTTTTCTGCTGTTTTGAGAATGCACTCCGTTGCTAAATCACATAATGTAACCTTGGAGAAGAAAAATCCTTTGGGTTAGGGCATTAAAATGAGAGAATTAATCTGGTTTGAAAATCCTGCCCTTCTGAGGGTCTACTTTTGTCATTTACTTAGTTTAGAAGATGAATATGGCAAAATATATTATTTATTAAAGTTGATATAGGCACTAGGCTGTAGCTTCCTTTACTCACTCATACATTAAAATTAATAGAAAAGAAGCTTCTAGCAGTTTAAACAGAATTTGCCTATATGGGAGTAGGAGTATAATCTTTCCTTATTTTTGTAAATTATTTAGCATTGATACAAATATTTTAAACCTCAAAATTGTAGATTGCCTTTTTTTTTTTTTGCTTGCTTGCTTGTTAGCATTTTAAGCACAGTTGTAATTTCAAGTGCTATTGCTATTTCCTTAGAGAAGCCTTAAAGGATGTCTTTTCTTGCAGCATCATAAAGCCTGTAATGGCTTTGAGTTTATTTTGCCAATGCTGATTATAGTTGTTAATTGTTACTGCCAGAGAGGCAAAAACATAGGTACAATAATCAGTGTATAGATGAGGTGAATTCTGGATTTTTTATGTAGGCACCAGGTTTTTGGGTCTAGATTAAACAAAACCTGAGTAAAGGTGTTAGAAATTGTGTTGATAGATATACAGATGTGTGCTGGTCCTGTACATGGAATTTTGTGTCTGCCATATGTTGATGGGAGTTATGTTTGCCTCCTTTGCACTGAAGGAAAGTTAGAACTGTTACAATCCACCACTGACTACTTCTGCTACAAGTGAAAGATGTGTTTGGGAATTCAGTTTTCTTTCTTTTGAACTTTTTCAGCTCTCCAATACCTGCTAGACTGTTCACTCACACTCAGTTTTCTCCATAGCATGAGACATCATGTTCTGCTAGAGAACATGATAACAGTGTTTGGCAAAACCAGTGTAGAGGTCTAAGGTTCAGTTGGTGAGTCTTCCTGAAACCAAGTGACCTGTTCCATAGCCCTGTGTCACAATTTAGGAATTTGTCCTCTATTCTCTAAATATAGATATAGATACCTACATTTGTAGGTTAAATTCCTAGCACTTATTTTTAAGTAGTGGCCCAAAATGAATTTTAGAACTGTAATTGTCACAAATAGCAAGACAAGGTGATAAAAACAATATAGCTTTTATCTCTTAAGGCCTTTTTTCTGCCTTGGAGTGTCACAGGTTAAGTGTGGGTCACACAGGGACTGTAGTTAGATTGTGTTCAAACAGTAGCATGAGTTGATTTGGACAGGAGCTTCTAAAGACATTAAGATTCACAGACCTCTGTTGCTTCCCTAAGACTCAGTGAAGCTTCTCTGCATTCTGTCACATACCTACAGAGCATCCAGGTGGTGTGCAGGGTTTAGCCCTGCTTTCTAAACTCATACAATAAAATGAAGTTTTTCCCCAGCAAGCTGACCTCAGACATGGAGTGTGGTAAGAGCCAGAGCATCCTACACAAGAGACAGCCTGGGATTCACATTGCCCTCCCCATTGCTGCTGCCGCTGCTTGTCAGAGGGGAAAAGGGGAAGTAGCCCTTCCAAAGATACCTTGGGGTGCAGCACGTAGAGAATCACAAGCAGGCTGCAACAAACCTCATTTGGAAAGGTTCAAAGGTTTTCATAAAAAAAAAGATGCAGGACAGATGAGTGGGGATAAAATAGTGTGGAATGGATAGAGAAGGTTTAGGTTCAAGACTCAGAATAGATTGTGCATCTCATATGAGTGCCTGCAGAATCTTTGTATCGCTTTGCAACCATTGCTGGAGTGGTTTAGGGAGAAGTTAAGCATTTCATTTCAGTGGAACAGTTTTTTACAACTCCAGGACTTTTCTCAGTAGAGATATAACATTATGAACCAAGTTGCATATGCCAAACTTCCTACAGCAGAGAAAATGTATTGTAACAGAGATGTCCATGCCTTCTGTGCAGATCATCACACATCCTATATCCAGAAATGAATGCAGGTACCATTTCTTGCAAGTTATGTATGTGGTGTTAGTTAGGATGTGATGTTGCTCGTGTGTTTATACAGTATTTATTGGGGGACCAAAGGCAGGACAATAAAACAAAAGCAGATGGATGAAGTCCTAAGATATTAATAAGGCATTAATATTAAACTTCCTCTAAAAGGCTTGTGGTTACCAAGTCCTGGTTTACATTAGTGCCTGTCTTTTACAGAGTCTGTAATGTCTGTCATTGCAGCCCAAGTGATACTTCTGTGATGCCGTTTTAGGTGTGAGCAAAGGCATGAGCTTACAGTTCCAAAAGTAACCAGTCTGTTGGATGCAAGGGCTGACCGATAAGAACTCAGTTTTTGTAAATTCTTCTATCTCAGTATAGTAACCCACATATCATTTAGTTGATGTATGCTGAAGATAGCCTGAATTTCTCCTCAATTTCAAGTGACTGAATCTTGAGAGCTAAGTGCCATCATTCACATGGCTAAAGACATGGAATAGGAAGTTTCCTGATACGGCTCAGTAGGAGACACCTGACACATGGGTTTGGTGGATTTAGAACACCTGACTATGAAGCTCAATGATTTCAAGTCCAAAAACATTTTCAAATACATTTAATGATTGTCTTTTTTACTAGCAAATCAAAATATATATAGCTAATGCATGTATTTGAAACTCAATACAGCATTTAACTGACTGAACTGCTGGTGCATTTTTGATGCCCTTCATTGATTCTTTGTTTCACAGGGGGTACACAGTGAGGAGAAAGTGTTTCAAATTAATCTTAGCAAAAAGGTGGTTTTGGTTTTTCATCTTCCCTCTCTGACAGAATAAAGAAACTGTAAAAAAATTAATGTATCATATATGAAAGCCATGAATAAGAGCAGCCTTTATTTTCAGCTTTTTTATGTGACATTCCCACCAACAGTACAGGGCCATAAGATTTAGCTGAAATTTTTTTTATCACTCAGCGTGTTAGAAACGTCCACTCCACAAGTTCTGTTAAAGTATCAAATAGAGTTAGTCCTTATCTAGAACTAGTCAATATCTTTGATAATAACTTGTATGAAAGAATAATAAGGGATTTATGTTTCTGGAAAGTCAGAAGGTGAAATGGTTTTCTAGCACTTTTGAAAATACAGTTTGGATTGAGAATGATCTTGACTGGAAGAGTGACCCAAAGTAATAGTAGAGAGTTGGGTCATGGCAGAGAAAGCATGAATTCTGTGGAAGTTCTACAGAAAAAAATCCTAAACAAACAAACCAACCAACCACAAAAAAAAAAAAAAAAAAAAGTACTCAGTAATAAGCTTAAATATGGATCATCAACATCACAGTGCACTGACAGTCTTATGTGATGATGTACAGGCAAGAATGGCATAGATTGTTACATTCAAAGAGATTCTGCCAACCTATTCACTACTACTACAGCCTTAAGAGGAAGATTATGTCCAGTTTTCAACAGCAAACATTAATGATTTCAGTAACAGAGAACTGTGAGCCAAGCAGCAGAGATTTAGAAAATATGACCTAAATTGCATTGAAATAATTTCTTCGTTCATTGAAGAGGAAACTCACACCAATATTAAAATGCATCTGAGGTGGAGAAGAAAAAAAATGTAACAAAATACTTTTCATCCTGTATGGATGAATAATTTTCAGGGGTTGCTCTGGAATATATACCCAAAGGTGGAAAATGGAGCGATGAGTTTTAAGGGTTTAAAGCTTCTGTATATGTAAGAGGAAAATCTGTCTGGAAGGATATCAGATCATGGTAATTGTTTTCCCGAGGAAGTTTTGGTGTCTTCATTACTGGACGCTTTCAAAAATAACTTACACGGCAGTTCCTGAAATGGTTTAGGCCATTCCTAGCCTCTTTTTAGGACCAGTTGGATTCAATAAGCTTTATGTGATTTGAATGCTATGTTTAATTTTGAATGTTAATACTGACTGCAATTGCTGAATTGTTGCTTTCTGTCTGCCCCAAACTAGCAGGGCCTCTTCTGTGCTTCTGTTTTCTCTGACTTAATTTTTTTGTCCCCTTACACATTTCTCCACTTTATAGATAAAATAAATGAAGAAGAAAAAAACATATTGAAGGATTCAGTATGTAATGTGTTAGATTTCTTCAATATTTTGTCATAAATAGGATTAAATAGGGAGGGCAGAAAAGACTTTTCTTTTCTTTTTTCTTCTGACATTAGTCTTCTTTCTAGTGTCCAGTGATCCCATATTCCCTGTGTTAATATTATTTTTCCAGCAGCTTGACTCGGGGATAGTATGGTCTCCAGCAGCACTAACAGATTGCACAATGAGAGTATTGCATAGCAGCTGATAATGCTGTGGAAATTGTTTAGGGGAGCTGGTGCAGTGCAATGCTTTTGTATATAAACTATCTTTTTATGTGGAATAACAGGTTTTCACAACTGCTTTTTAGATGCATAGATACCGCGACTGAGGCAAGTATATATATCTGCTCTTGGAATGCAAGCAAATTTCAAAAGATCACATTTTGACAGAATTGTGTGCAAATAACGTGTGTCTTGTTTTTCCCTTCCTTCCCCCCACTTTTAGCTGGCTGTGAGGTGGTTGGAGCACAACTGCCGCTACCAGTATCTGGATGAGCTTCTCCAGTACGTCCGCTTTGGCCTTATGGATGTGGATACACTGCACACTGTAGCTCTCACCCATCCTCTTGTGCAAGCCAGTGAAACTGCGACCGCGCTCATTAACGAGGCCTTGGCGTACCACCAGAGCGTCTACGCACAGCCCGTTTGGCAAACTGCAAGGACAAAGCCCCGCTTCCAGTCAGACACTCTTTATATCATTGGCGGGAAAAAACGAGAAGTCTGCAAAGTGAAGGAATTGCGATACTTCAACCCGGTAGACCAGGAAAATGTCCACATCGCGGGCATCGCCAACTGGAGCGAGCTGGCACCCATGCCTGTGGGGAGGAGCCACCACTGCGTGGCTGTCATGGGAGACTTCCTTTTTGTGGCTGGCGGAGAGGTGGAGCACTCCACGGGGCGCACGTGTGCCGTGAGGACTGTCTGTCGCTACGACCCCCGCACCAACTCCTGGGCGGAGATAGCTCCCATGAAGAACTGCCGGGAGCACTTTGTGCTGGGAGCCGTGGACGAGTACCTCTATGCCGTAGGGGGCAGGAACGAACTGCGCCAAGTGCTGCCCACGGTCGAGCGCTACTGCCCCAAGAAGAACAAGTGGACCTTTGTACAGTCCTTTGATCGGTCGCTCTCGTGCCACGCGGGATATGTGGTGGATGGTCTTCTTTGGATATCAGGTAGAAAACGTTTCACACAGTTTGAGGTACTGACAAAACACCAAAATACTGTCTTGAATTAAAGTAATAAATCTTTGGTTTATCTGTCATGATAACTTTTCTCTGTGGAGAGGACAAAGAACTGAAGCCTCATTGGAAGTATAGGAGCGTAATGTATCTTATACATTACACTCGGTATTCCAGAGCTGCTGATATCATGTGTGCTATCTCCAGTTGCCATTCATAAATCACAGTGAACTGGAATGATAATGCACTTTTGGACAAATTTCCCATGATAAATTTTGTGTGCTTCCTAAAAACAAGCTAAAAAGGACATTGTTTCTGTAATATGATCTGGTACTTTTGACAGTCACAGGACCCGAGGGAATGGCCTGAAGTTGTGTCAGGGGAGGTTTAGGTTGGATATCAGGAAAAGGTTCTTCACCCAGGCTGATTGGGCACTGGGACAGGCTCCCCAGGGAGGTGATCATAACATCACCCTGACAAAGTTCGGGCAGTGTTTGGATAATGCTTTCGGGCATATGGTGTGATTCCTGAGTATGTGCAGGGCCTGGAGTGGACTTTGATGATCCTTGTGGGTCCCTTCCAACTCAGAATATTCTATGATTCACTTATTCCTGATGATGAAATGGAAAATTAAGTGCTTGTTAGCTTGTGTTGTTCCAGGGCTTGAAGGCAGATGTATGATTTGGTCCCACTTGCTCTTCAGAATATTGAAATACGCTGAGATGACTGTTTTTAGAAATCATCCGTGGCCCTGTCCATAGCAAGTGCACAAGGCTGTCTGGATGTAATCATGGCTTTACGGCACAGATAGATGGATGTATAGACCCTATAATCCTAAAAGAACGTGTCATTTACAACTGAGTCTTTAGTTGTTATGTTCCATTGATGGGGATGGGAGGATTCAGTTGCCTCAGTCCTTGTAGTGGGTATTAGTTATTTTGGAATATGGCTGATGCTGTCTACAGAAGATTTGACAGAAAAATATTCCCCCTTTACTGAGAAGTGTGCCACGGAAGGTTATACAGTTATAATATTTATTAAGGAAGCTAATGAGTAAATGGTGCCAGCCCTTGAGGTAAATGTTCAGTGATTGGCATCTTCACTGTAGATACCCTCTGGGGATTTTAATATGGTCTGGAATGCCTGTGGTGAAAGGATGGAATGTGAATGGAAGATTAAGTTAGCTTCTTAGGCCTGTGCTGTGCTTCTCAAAATGTGTCATTTAGGCTAGTGGATTCACCTTTCTGTCCCTGTGGATTAAGTGCCTCATGGGAAAGGGTTCCCAAGCATTGGCAGGGGAATTAGCAGGTATCTCTTTTAATACATATGCACTAAAGTCATGAATGATGACTTTGGAATTAAAAGCAGGACAGGACACAGCAAACCACCAAGATCCCTGGCAGGTACTTTGGATCATTTTCTTTAGTGACTATCATTTAGGGAGTCTTGTTGACTTTATGCTGTGTGAATCCTGAGGTGAGACCCAGGCAGAGTACAGGAACAGGATTTCTGCGATAGGCTACCAGCTGGGTGTGTTCAGATCATTATTGTGTTTATTCACTGCTTTTCCTATTTCATTAGCAGAGAGGGACGTGTGTCTGCAGTGGGCACTTCAAATGCATGGATGTTACTACTGCTGTGTCTTGATTGCTGGTTTTTTTTTTCCTGTTTTGTGGTTTACATTTGTCAGTATTTATGAAGAATAGGACCTTTTAAAAAATGATGTTACTCATTCTCACATGAAATCATTGAATGTGTACTGGTAATCCATCAGTGCGGTCTTTCCTCCAGTAAATGAAAAAAGTAATATTTTTTGTTGTAATCTTATGAAAAAAGAAACCAAAACAACAAAACAATCAAAACTCAAGAAAGTATTTGATAGCAGTTTTTAAGTCAGACAAGGGGATGGTTGAAGATTAAATTTAATCTTTCCAGATTTGCTAGGAAAGGGAAAATTATCCTGAGGATTAATTCATGTGCTTAGTTATGTAGGTGAAATGCATACATGCCTGTGTGTTTTAAATTCTACTTTTGTTTAGAAAATGATGCAGTGTGATACTGTGTTCAGGGATATGCCTCTAATAGAGCTGTAGAATCAGTGGAAGAGGTAAGTGGAAGCCTCCTGGATGAATTCTTTAAAACCGGGCAAAACAACAAAATATATTTTATCAGTATGGCTCCATTTATATTTGAAAATGCTGCCAACAGTGGAATAAGGTAGACATAGCTTTTCATTTTGATAGGTTCTGAGAAAATGCTTAGAAAGTTTTGAGTTGCTCAATTATGACGGGTTATTTATGAAGTATGAGAGTGCACTTACTGTGCTACACTTCAGTAGATATTGATCTGAATTTTGTCTTCTCACACTGAAACCTGGTTGTGTATTGAATAGAGTTACTTTAAAAAGAAAAGTGGGTGGAGATGTAATAACTATAGCTAGTTTTCTGATATTAATTAATTGCTTAGGACCAGAATGTAGCTTGTGGTACATGTACATTCAGGGGCAGGGGAATAGAACAGAGAGATGTTTTATTATATCATAGTCACTGCTGGAAAATCCACTGTTCATCTTTGAATATAAGATGTTAGCATAAAAGTAATTAGTAATGCAGGAGGGAACCTAATTTTGAAGTATGTGGCCTAAAATTAAGTAATTAAAAAATTAGTCTGAGTTAGAAATGTTTCTGAGCTGTATCCCTGCTGCTTTTTCTGGGAAATACAGGTCATCAGCAAAGAGCTCTCAAAGTCACTCTGCTACTACCAGCTGGCAAGGGAACCATGGAAATGTGCCCAGTGAGAGAATAAATTAAATAGTGATAATAAAAGTTTCTGGCCCTTCTATTTGTGGAAAGCATCATCAAAGCTTGATCTGCACACTGACCATTCACTTGCTCAGTGCCACTGCTACAGCCCTGTGCCCTCTTAAAGGCTTTGCTGATCAAAAGCTAACTAGACTTAAGGGATTCCTATTATTATTGGGATTCATTTTCAGCTTTGCTTTCATGCTCCTTTGGGACAAATATGACAAGGATTCAAAACTAATAGATACTAAGATCATGGCAAAGGCAGCAGGAAAGGAAAATTGACAAAGCAAGCCACTGTTAGGAGCTTACACACTGGCAGTAGTGGGTGGATGGCTCGTGTTCAGGTGACAGAGGGACTCCTAAGCTGCCACCAGCCCTTTAGGGTTTTAGCCTGACAGAAGCAGATTAAAAGAGGGAGCCTTTTGCACACTGGAACTAGTCAGTCCCTCTGCTCAGCACATGTGGGTTCAGCCCTTGAGTTTTTTGAGCTCCATATTTTCATATGCATGTCATTATTTATTGTTTTTCCCCCACAGTCCTCATTTTATATTCTTATTTAAAGAAAAAGAAAACAAGAGAAGTTATTAAAACAATGTACTGGTTTTGACTGGGATAGAGTTAATGTTCCTCATAGCAGCTAGTCTGGGCAGTATCTTGGATTTGTGCTGGAAACAGTCCTGGTAACACAGGAATGTTTTTGTTATTGCTGAGCAGTGCTTCTACAGAGTGAAGGTGTTTTTTACTTGTCACCCCACCCCACCAGTGAAGAGATTGGGGATGGGCAAGGGTTTGAGAGGGGACCCAGCCAGGACAGCTGACCCCTGCTGACTGAAGGGGTATCGCAGATTATGTGCTGTCATGCTCAGCATATAAAGCTGGGGGAAGCAGGAAGAAATGGAGAGTGTTCATAGTGCTGATGCTTGACTTCCCAGGTCACCATTATGCTTGATGGATCCCTGCTCTCCTGGAGATGGCTGAACACCTCTCTGCTTGCAGGAAGCAATGAATTAATTCCGTGTTTTGCTTTGCTTATGTGTGTGGCTTTTGCTTTACCTCTTAAACTCTCTTTATCCCAACCCACAAATTTTCTCAGTGTTACTTTTCCAATTGTCTCCCCACCCCATGCTGGGGGAGCAAATGACTGGCTGTGTGAGGCTGAGTTTCTGACTGGGGTTAAACCAGAACAAGTAAGTTCTCTGTACTGACATTGCATTGGACAGATGGTTTGGAAATTTTATAGAAAGGTGATTCTTCCAGGCCCCAGTTAACATCTGGTGCCATGACCAATTTCACAAATGAATTACATGCCACAATGCTTGTAAAGTGAGGTATTTCAGTGAAAGAAAAACTAAGTACACTAAACACTTTGGAGTTCAACATGACTAACAATGACTATCTATAAAAGCGAGGAGATATTTTCCATGAGAGCCAGGACTTGAACTCTGCCCATTTCCCAGCATCCTCTGTGGAGTGCACATGCAAATCTGGAGACCTGCTTTTCTATCCACGTTAACCTTCCTCCACCTGTATAGGTCTAGTGCCCCTGGGGACATCGAGGACAGGGAACCTCTGCCAGGCATTCCAGCTCTGGGTCATTCCTGCGCCTGCATCTTGGGATAATGACACTTCCCCTTGCCTTAGGTGCTCCAGAGATTAGCACATGAAAAGTCTTGTTTAAAACCAAGTGTTACACTGGTGTTTTGCAGAGGCCCAAGTTGTCTGACCTTAAGTGTGTCAGCTAAAATGACATCTTGACACGCACATAGAAATTCAGCTTAGGGGAAGGGGGTAAACAAGCCATCCCTCTACAGTTGCTTTGTACTTAATATAGAAGATAAAAATCTTTTTAAAAATTCAAGATTCATTCTTTTGGTTTTTAAGCTGTTGGTTTTTTTCCGTAATGGTGAAGATTTTCACCAAGGAAATGGTGGTGATAACATATCTTGAAGAATTATTATGAGTTTGCAAGTGATTTGGGATGAAAAGTATGACCTTACTATCAATATGCTGTCATGAAGTAAAGAATTTTTTCTCAGGAAAAGTCTATAAAATTATTTTATGAAAAATATATCTGGAATAATAGGAGTTTACAGAATCCATCCAAATCAAGTTTTACGGTGTGACTGGCACAGGATTTACTGGAAATGGGAGGTTAACAAGTGCCTAAAAATTGCCTTAGTGGCCCAGTCTTAGTCTCTATATGTTCCATATATACACAGACTTCATTTTTACTGTATTTGAATTAATATCTCACACTTTTCAGTGATTGGACATTGATGCCATTGATTCTCCTTAATGATTTCACACCTTTCAGTGATAGGACATTGATGCCATTGATTCTCCTTAGACTGAATGTAAACATCCAGCTTTAATGATTTAAACGAACTTAGGGCTTATGCCCCTCTGGTCTGTGGCTCGATTGCATCTGGAGTCAAGGAGCACTAAGCAGAGCTGCTGCTGGCCTCTTCCAGGGGACTCCTTACCTTGGGGGAATGTGCTCCAGCTCACCTGTCCTCACTGCACCGGGGCTGGCTGCTGCAAGAGGCAGCAGGTTCGCTTTGCATGTTGAGGAAGGATCTTCGTGTGTTTAACACACAGGCACCTGAGAGAGGAGAGATTTCTGGTTTAAATAGCAGAGCACCTTAGGGTGCGTGTTGTGGGTTTCTGTATATTCCCTGGATTTGCTGGAAGGAGCACACGTGGGAGCTCTTTGCCCATGTGTAATTTGACACATCTCCCAGTGAACTCGGATTCGCGCACGCAGCCTCGCGCTTGGGGACTGTGCTTGGGGAGAGCTGTGATATTTCCTGGGGATTTGGGTTGGATCAGGTTTCTGAAGTCATATGGAGGCCTTGCTAGGCCACGTTATAAATATGGCTTATAAATTGTCATTGAGGAAAATGTGGAATCTACTGCCTCCTACCCTTCTCTTTTTAGAAATGTGTCTTGAAGGTGTTTCTCAATGTGGTTTGTGGAGTGTTTGGAAGGACTGCAGTAGTTCAAACTGTTTATCAAGCGTGGGAAAGGGATGGACGAGGTGTGTTTTGGAATCCTTGAGCAATTTCCTCATGTAGAGGGGCTCTGTTGCATGAGTTGGGAATTTACAGGTCTTGGAAGGCTTAAAAAGCAACTCTTACAGCCTACAAGGGAGTGAGAGATAGTTATTGTGGCAGTGTAAAAACATTGTGGGCCCATGGGCTGGATGATGGCCTTTCCATGATGGTGTGCCTCTGTCTGTAAGAGCAAGAAAGTCTTGTCCTGAGGGTGCTCCTTGCCTCCCACGAAATGGAATCCTCAAAGCAAGCTGCTCATGTAAAGTGGTGTAATCATCACTCTGTTTACAAAAACAGCAAATGCTGACCAAACTGTAAATTTTCTGTCATTTAACCAGACAGAAATTTTTTTTCTCTTTCTCTAACTGTTAGATTACTACCACATTAGCTGTTATTGCTTGGCATAGAATTTAATAGCATAGTTTGCATTTTTAACTACTTTCTCTCATTATGATGGCTCTCTATCCTATCCTTTCCTCATAGATAACACAACAGAGAAGTGTAAGAAATTCTCTCACAACTACCCCATTTCTTTTCTGAGAAAGTATGTGTTATTTTTAGTACTATTTAAACTCTTTTCCCTCTTCTTTTCTTATTTTTAAGACATATTGCTGCTCTTTCGCCCTTTTCCAGCTGTCTGTAGTATTTAAAAAAAAATAGTTCAAGAGGACATTGCAAACTTGTTAAGTCTGAATTTTGGCAGAAAATTTTAAACTTTTGCTATAGCACTTCAAAGTTAGAAGGAACTAGAGTTTGAAAATTGATGCAGATATAAGATGGCATATTTAATGACAGATGTATCTATAGAAACCTGTTAAGATGCAGATTATCCCCCTGGGGAGGGGAGATCAAAACTGCCAATCTATAAAATATACTTGTTAGGGGAAGGCATGGAATCTATCTCTGCGAGCACTTTGATTGCAGGGGACAGTGTAGCAGCATGTGGCATCATAACCTAAGAGCAGACAAATCAGCTTGATGACTTTCAAAGCCAAGAATACTGCTGGAGGCAAGGGTACTCCAGTCTAGAAGAAATTAAAACATATAGAGACTGTTATTAATTCCAGATCTATTTTTGTGTAGTCAAATCTGTATGCAAATCCTTAGCATCTCATTTTGGCAGATTAATCTAAAAGTGAAGAGCGGTATGTGAAGGGAATGTAATGATAAAACACCAGAGATGAGCAATATTGCAGGGAAAAAGATGTAAGCTGTGTACTTGATGTGAGGGGCCCTTTGTGAAGAGAAGGAAATAATTTTGCTTATTTTATTACTTTATGAGGAAACAACACTCTTCTTTCTCTTCTTCCTTCACATCTTTCCCCCCAAATTAAGGTGTCCTTTCAGAATGGAAACGTATGACCCAAAATTGTGTTTCAAATGTGTCTCCTGTAGTTTAACATTCTGGAGGTAATAAACCAAATAACTATGATTTTTATTTTTCAAAGTACTAATCTGATGTCTCATTTTAGGCATTGTGCTGTGAGTGAAAATAACTATATGTAAAAAAAATCAAAGTACAAAACAGATATTAGAAAAGATTGTTTTGTCTGTCTGGCTGATGACCACTAGGAATGTGAAGGCTGTACAACAGTGTAGAGACAAATAACAGATTGTGAGATGAGGCACAGGAGCAGTCTTTGCTTTCCAATGCCTGTTCCTGTGTGTGCATTTCACATGTGCTGTGATGGGCAGGGTGTGGCATAGTGTGATGGAAACAGTTTGGAGAGGCTGCATCTCATCCCAGCCCTCTCAGCCTGTGAGCATCTCTGAGCTGGGAGTTTGGGCTGCCATCCCTCTGGGGGTGCTTGCAGACATGCACCCAACAACAGCATCATTTCTCCTTGCTGCTGCAGTTGAAGAAAAGACTCTAAAATAGGTGCATCTGTAGTTTCTGCTGTAGATTCTTGGCCCCACTCAAGTTTTTTTGAGTGGTCAGAGGGTACTTCTATGTCAGCAAGGAGCTCAGCCCAGCAGGAGCAGATCAGCAGGTAAAACCTCGGCGCCAAGTTCTCTGTGTTCACTCCATGTACCCTTCACATTTTTTGCTTTGGGCTAGGTTTGTTCTGGTCCTCTGGCTCAAATGTTCCCAGTGCTCAGATGGTCCAAAGCCAAAAGACCAGTTATTATTGCACACCCTTATGCTGCCATTAGGAACTGGAGCACAGCTGGTGCACATCTGGAGCACAGTTTCTGGTTTAACTTGAATGCACACCAGTCCCAACCTGCAGCCTGAAGTGACATGAGGGAGGTGGCAGAGTTGCTTCAAAATCACAGTATGGCTCTGAACCAAAATTCAATCTGCCCTCAGCCTAGCTGGAGGCTGGCAAAATGAGAATTCCCCAGCACAGAGCTTGGGGATAAAAGGGAAGAAACCAACCCAGCAACCTTAGTGGGGCTGGGCCATAGCTCAGCCAGCAGGAGTGTAAGTCACTGGTCTGCTGTCCTGGCTGAAACAGGTATGCCCTGACAAAAAGGGAAACATCAACAAAATGAAATGTAATAAGAGGAAAATCTTTCCTCTCATTGCTGTGAATTTTGTCCACTTTTGGTACAGGCCATTAAAACTGTAATATAAATAGTTTGTCTGTCAGTATGAGTGTCACTGGTGTGTGGCCACTGACATGCCCTAGTTCTGCCAGACCTCGTGGCAGGATGAAGGTGAGGCACAGCTTGCCTGTGCCTTATTTCTGATTCCATCTTCCCATGGGCCCAGCGTGGTGGGGGACTGGGGGCTGTGGCAGTGCTGCAGTGGCACCATGTCCGCAGGAGGCTTGAGCACATTCAAAAACGTGCTTGCACAGGTAACATAACAGGCTGAAGGAGTTTTCCATGTTTACTTAGTGAAAGTAACTTGCCATTTTAAACAAAACAAGAAGATGACTGGGCATTAAGTGTCTCTTTACTGTGTTGAGGTAAACAGCTGGTTTGCAGCATCTAGTTGGGTCAGAGTCTATTCTGAGCTTTTCTAGGTGCTCAACACCATGATTTTCTGACCAGTATTGAAAAGTAAACAGTAGAGCTGTTTCTGGTCACTGTGGAGGGACCTTCCAACCTAAGTTTACAACTAAATGAGTTGTTTTCTATAATACAAGCTAAGTACAGGATTTCTTTCAAGTGTGTAGATAAGCACAGTTGCACAGGCTTGAACTATGCTTTTAACTGGCAGTGATATCCCCTGTCATGTTGTTGGTAAGGCAGAGCTTCTCTGTGACCTCTTCCTTCTCATTGCTGCAAGCTGACCTTTTCCTCTTTCAAACCCTGTCACATACTGGATGTTCCTTGGAACACGAATGGGTTTTATCTTTGTGTCTTGATGAAGGCTGAATGCACAGTTATGTATAAAGAGATCCATTTTTTACTCATTTTTGGCCCATAGAATTAGCTCTGCAAAAGAAGTGTATGGGGGCTGTTTATTGATGCTGTTCTGTGTTGCTTTATGTTTGATAAATGGGGCTGCTTTTTCCCTTGTAACCAGATTAAAAAGTGCAGTGGAATGTAAGCAGAAGTGGTGGTATGTAATGTAATTATTATCTGCAGATGAACTCTAGAATTGGTTTTTTTGCTGTACCTGATCTTGGTCCTGGCTTTGCCTATATCAAAAAATGTAACCTGTATAAACTCTTTTATAGGAGGAGTTACAAATACTGCACAATATCAAAATAGACTCATGGTCTATGATCCTAAGCAGGTGAGTATCTGTGTTATATGTTTTGTTTTGCTTCAAACAGATCTCTTGGCAAATACAAAGATTTTGTGAGGCTAAAACTGCTGACCATTTGAATTAGTGGTGTTTTAAATTCACTTTGTACTGATGCATGAGTTTAACAGAGTGATGGAGACCCTGACAACTTATTACATTTTTTAAGCCTGTAAGAACTAGAAACATCCTAGGTTAAATACAGAAATGTACTTTAAATCCCCTGTATTTATCAGTATTTATTTTGCTTGTTCTTTTTTATTTTGTAATCCAGCAGCCCTGGGCAATGTATACTCAAAGTCAGTGTTCCAAAACCGCTCCTTGCCATTGGCATTTCTGTTTTGAATTGCATAAATGGGCCTTTTTGTTTCCTGAATACTTTGAGAACTGTACTACCTGGCCGTGACTTACTCTGCTGACTGCAAGGGTGCCTATCATTTCATTACCCAAGCACCTAAAATATCTTTTAGGGTTTATTTCATACATAATGTATGTGTTTTGATTAGGTTAGCACAGCTCAGTAACCATTTCAGAGGGTTAGGGCATGGCTATGCCCTCTTGCTTGTATTAGGAATTAAAAGTCCTAAGCTTGCAATCAGAGTTGCATAGCCTGATTTACACCCATGTGGAAGAGTATTGACTTTTCTGATTGTAGGATAGGGGCTTTGATTGCTGTGTTTGGAACAAAATTGTGCCAGGAGATACTGCTATGTGGTTCCCACTGACTATTTAAAGCATAGAACATGCAAGTCCTGAAGCAGAAAGCAGGAGATGACACACATGCCTTGTTCTTTTCGAGGCGCAGTTTTGTCATTGACTACAAATGCTGACTGTCCTAAATCCAATCAGCAATTACAGGCGGCAATCCTACTTTGTTTGTGAGGGGGACACATATTTGTAAACCCTGTCCCTATTGTGTACCTTTCACTTGGGATTCTTCACTTGCTGATGTGAAGGTTGCCCCCCAAATTACCGGTGCTGGGGCTGCCTCAGTGTGCCGTGCTGCCAGCGAGGAGCCCAGCCTGGCACATGAAGAGTTACAGAGGAACTGTGGACTTGCATTCTTCAAACGACGTCTGCTTCGTGTTTGTACACACAAGCTCTCTTTAAAAATTCTGCTGGCATATTGTTTACGGTGGGTACTGGAAACCATCACATCTGCTCGCGCCTCGCGCGGAATCTCAATCGCTCCATCACGGAGCCGCAGCGCCCGCTGCCGCGCGCGGCCTTTGTGGCGCGTCGATAATGCCTGCCATCTGCCAGCGAGCACACAGCTACCTGCCAGCAGCCTCCTGCACTGACCCCTGCCTCCCCAGCGCTCATCAGTATTCACACACCGCCTTATTAGAAATGACCCTGCCAGGCCCCTCTGCTTTGCTGCCTTTGCAGTGCTTTGAGGCTCACCTGGCAGGCACTGCAGTGGAGGAAGCTAAAGATATAATCAGGGGATGCAGGCAGGCTTTGCAAAGCAGATGGTGTTTATAGTCTGGTGTTAAGAGACTGGACTACTAATGCAAGCATTAATGCCTAATATTCAACTATTACACATTGAAATGTATAGCTATATGTTGTGCAGGTTAAAAGGCAGAAGGCTTAGAGACTCTGGAGTTGCTGCACATGTACTGCAAAAAATTTCCTCACAGATTTTTAACGTCCTCCACTTAAATTAATCTTATCCCTTGCCAGGTTGTTTGATTTGGTAGGCATAACAGGAGCAATTGTTTTCTCAGGTATAAAATACTCTGCTTTAATCCCTTTTCTTCCATATCTTCCTGCCTCTCCCCTAAACAGGCAAAATTCTTGAATATTGTTAATGAGTAAGAAAAATATGCAAAGGGTTGGAACTTTGTAAGTTGCCACAAATAAAGGGTTGACATTAAACCAAATTAATCATTTGAGAAGATTCTTTAGGAAATTATTTTTCCTGTTGCTTTATTCCCCAAGGATAAGATCAAATAAGCTTCTGAATAACAAAAGGCAGAAGAATCTCTCTTCTCACATAACAGAGCTCATTGGTACAGATAATTTTAGCACCATATACAAAGGAGACGTTTAATAGTCTGCTTTAAGGAGAATTTGCTACTGAGTTATAAAGGGAAAAAAAAGACCTTTGAAACCTGATGAGCTAGACAAAAAAAAAATAGAGCAAGAAATGCCATTAAATTAATGAACTTAAATGTGAGAACTGTAAACCATGTGTTGAAAGTCCACTATCCTTATTCAGAGTTACAACCAACACACATGTCTGGCATATGACCAGAACCAGTATGTGCACTTGTGGTTCCTGACCAAGGGTGAGAGGGAACCAGCACTGTGCTGCTGCTGTTCATTGCACTAGCACTGTAGGTGTGCCTTTGAGCAGTGCTGGACCAGCCCTCTCTCGTTCCAGAACAAGTGGCTGAGCCGCAGCCCGATGCTGCAGAGGAGGGTCTATCACTCCATGGCCGCCGTGCAGAGGAAGCTCTACGTGCTGGGGGGGAACGACCTCGACTACAACAACGATCGCATCCTGGTGCGCCACATCGACTCCTACAGCATCGACACCGACCAGTGGACCCGCTGCAGCTTCAACATGCTGACAGGTGAGCACTGGTCACAGGGGGAACTGAAACTTTTCCCTTTAGATGCCTTTAGTCTGTGGAACTCCATGACTTTGTGACAAGTGCTTCCAATATAGGGACCGCTGTTAGCCAAGAAGACACTTTTCATTACGGTTCTGGCATTCAGGGGTCTGCAAAACATTTGTTTTTGTACATTGTGCATTAAATTTTGAAGAAGTTGCAGATAAATTTCGTTTAATTAAACAGTCAGAAACAATTTGTCATAATATTACCAGTAATGTTTTTTAATTCTCCAAAAGCTTGTGTGTGGTATTGGTTTAGCTCCCTGTGTGAGTGTACAAGAGACTGATGTGTCTTTACCATGCTACATCTTTTTGTAGTGGTTTCTGCTGGCATTATAGGGCAAAGCTTTCACTGAAATCTGTTAACTCTTGCTTATTTCTAAACAGTATCTTCTTAATAAATTACCCAAAAGGATGTGTCCTTGTTGGAATTCCATCTAGTCAGAAATTGAGCACTTAGTAAACTACAGGATCTGTAAAGTTCTTGACTTATTAGGAAGAACTGTTATAGCTGGAACTTGCAAACACTGCAGCTCACTGACCCCAGTCCACCAAAGTTCACCTCCACCTGATACAATTCCCAGATGTCGTATCTCCTTGAATCTCAGGGAGAAACAGAATCATAGAATGGTTTGAGTTGGAAGGCATCTTAAAGATCATCTAGTTCCCACCCCCTGCCATGGGCAGGGACACCTCCCACTACACCCATATTGGTCAAAGCCCCATCTAACCTTGAGCACTTCCTGGGATTGGGCAGCCTCACCACCCTCACAGTAAAGACTTTTTTCCTGTTATCTAGTTTAAACCTACTCACTTCCAGCTTGAGGCCAATCCCCCTTGTCCTATCACTACATGCCCTTTTAAAAGTCCCTCTCCAGCTTTCTGGTAGGCTCTCTGCTGGTAGTGAAAGGCCACAGTTAGGTCACACTGAAGTGTTCTCTTCTGCAGGCTGAACAGACCCCAGTCCATTCAGCCTTTCATCCTAGCAGAGGTGCTGCATCTCTCTAATTAGCTTGGTGGCCTCCTCTGGACTTGCTCCAGCAGCATTGTCCTTCCTGTAGTGAGGTCACCAGGGCTGGACACAGCACTCCAGGTGGGGTCTCACCAGAGTGGAGCAGAGGGGCAGAATCACCTCCCTGAACCTGCTGACCACACTTCCAGACAGGCATGTGACACATTCTTAGAGAAGCACCATCAGAAGGGTTGCTTGGTTTCCAAGTCAGGCCATCAGAGTACTTGATGGACACTCCGGAGAGGGACATAGATTAAAATGGAATTACACATGGTCAAACAGAAGTAGTTTTTCATGAGTCTTTTGCTCGCTAGTTAATTATTTTATTATGTGGAGGAACCGACAGCTTTTGAGAAAGATGTCATCTGATTTGCAACTGCAAAACCCTGGCACTGCAGGCACCCTCTCATTCTGGAGCTGACCTTGTCCCACTGAATGCTGTGAGGCAGCCTCCTCTCCACTGCCTCCAGGTTGTTTCCACAACCTGCACCTTAAGAAGCTGCCTAAGCCTTTCTTTCTGCCAGTACAACTGGCAGTAAATATGCCAGGTGAACCGTGTACTGCAGATTTTTTTAGGCTGTATTTTTCCTTCAAAACTTCCAAACTTGTTGGGAGGCCGTTGCTATGGGGATGAACTTGGGCAGCAGCTCCTGTGATTTTCAGTGTCCTTGTACCTGGAGGAGCGGGGCTGCACAGGTGTGGGCAGCACAGGAGGGGCACTCGGTGGGGACAGTGTCTGTCACCTGTGGCACACGTGAGGAGGGAGCTGATGGTCCCCTGCACAGCCACATTAGTGCTCATCTGGGCAGGGCTCCTGGGGAGAGCAAGGAGCTGCCCCCACGCCTCGCCTTCACTCCGACACGACGGGAATCCTGAAACAGTCAAACCACTGCCAGGAGTGTTTGCATGCCATTTCAGAACTCCAGCATTCGGTGTTAAAAGGGTTAATTAAACACTGAAAGTGGCTTCTATTTCCTTCTTTGCTTTAGGTCAAAATGAGTCTGGAGTTGCTGTCCACAATGGCAGAATATATTTAGTTGGTGGCTATTCGATTTGGACAAATGAGCCTTTGGCATGTATCCAGGTGAGCGATTTAGGTTTCTTTTAAAGTCTTTTCCAATAATCTTGCAAGTATAAGTTTTGCACAGTTGTTATTAAAAAAGGAAAATACATGTGAAGAGGAGAGATTAAGGATATTTCTTATGCAGCCACTGAACCTGCATAAACAGAGAGGAAATACTGTAGAAGTTAAAAGTATTTCCAGATGAGCCAATACATGCAATTCCTGTAAGATGTACCAGATGTAAACCAGGGTTGAATTGTCTTTCCTTTTGCAAGGTTTGGATAAAATAATTTGTATATATTCACCAGTTACACAATTAAGTCCAAAATTGAAAGGGTTGCAGAAATGGATGATGGGGCTAAGAATTTTTCAGCCCATATTGGGATTTTTCTTTTCTTTCCAAGTTGTGTTTCTGAGGGGCAACCAGAGTTAACGAGTTGTTCATTGACCAGGTGCAGTCAGCCTGCTACCTGCCCTTCTGCTTACTGCCTTAAAGCTTCAATGGAAGTTTTTTGATCCCTGCCCTAGGCAATAGGTTCTTCTACAAACTCCTCTGCTCTCCCATCTTCTATAAAAACAGCTCACCCACAGATCCATGGCTTTCAGGTATTTTGGTAAAGAAATTAGGAATTCTTATCTTTCTACATGTTTCTGAGTGAAGCAGTTCTGCATCACAGCCACTGCTTTGTCACCAGCTGGGTAGTTAAAAGCAGAAACGTCTGTTTATATCTCAGTTTCTGCACTTTTGCTGATAAACAACATTTTTATTAGCTTCCAACTTTTTGGATTTTAGAATTTAACCTCCAAACTGTCCCATAAGACTAGAAGTTAGGCTTAGCATAAGAAGGGAGTATATTGGGTTGCCAAGCTGCTGGTCTTACGTTGAACACTTAGTAACATGAATTTGTAAAGAGAAGATAACACAAGATAAAAGTTAAAAGCATGTTCTGGTCACTAGTATAATTGTGTTTTAGCAAGTTGTTGGATACCACACAAAAAGAAATCTTGGAAAAAGTCATTCAGGCTGGCTTGGATATAGCTGACATATAATGCTTTGATGGAGTAATAGCACCGTGTAGAGGTAGCAGCTGTGCTCCACCAGTGGGCTCGTTTATAATCAACAGGTACTCTGCAGTATTGCTCCTGGGTTTTAATATGGCTTAGCGACAAGCAAAAATAATCCTGGGATCTTGCTTTCTTAAATGGACAATTGTCCACATCCCCAGACTGGTTGTGAACTGGCAGCCTGCCTGACACAGTCCCCACATAAAAGGGGAAAAGAAATATAATGAGTGATTTGGCAGAGCTGAGTGTGCTGTCCTTTTTCAGCTGTTGGCAGTGTGCCTGGCTTTAACCAGCAAAACTACCCTTTTATCTTCCAATTGAGGAAATTTGAGGTTGCTCTCTCCTTTGGAAGAAAAAATTCCATTTTTTCTTTTAATTTCTTTACTTTCTTTAAGTCACTCATTTATTTGGCATTCCCATCTTCCACAGAGCTTCTGTGCCCCCTGAATACCTTGGGGCTGACAAATGATTTGTGCTCTGTGTTCACAGGAGCCCTTCTGTGCAGAGTAACCCACGTGCACAGCTGCAGATTCTCCTGCCAGAAAGCAGGATCCAATGTCATTGTTTGCTCCCGAGTGCCTGAGCACTCAGGTTTTGGGTTGGGTGATGAGAACAGAAAATGGATCACCAGATCCATAAATAATCTAAAAATTATCTGAAACCACCTTTATGCTGGGATTAATAGTAAATACATGAGGTGAGTGCCAGCAAATTTGTTTCAGCTTTCTTCTGTGATCCCAAAAATATTTTGTATGCTTTGCCATGCAGGTGCTGGATGTTAGCAAGGAGGGGAAGGAAGAGGTGTTCTATGGGCCTACGCTCCCCTTTGCTTCCAATGGAATAGCAGCCTGCTTTCTTCCAGCTCCTTATTTCACATGCCCCAACCTCCAGACTCTGCAAGTGCCTCACCACAGGATCGGCACGATGTGACGCATTCCTCGCGCTTCACGGAATCGGAAGTGGAGCAGGAAAGCATCAAACCCCACAGGGTTTGACAGAAGGGTTTCCCTGGGTCAGTGAGAAGAGTCAATCCACTCGGGCTGCTGCTTTACCATCACACATTTGTCTTAAGGCCAGATCCCAGCGGGCAGGCAGGGACCCCCAAAGGCCGCGCGCGGTTTCTCTGCGGTGGCAGCGATGCGTGAGCGCCGTGTGCGGTTCTGCCGGTGGCCACTGGCTGCGTCTCCTTCATCTCCTTATGCAACCTCATCAGGCATTGTGGATGCTCTCAACTCTTCCTGGGCCGCTGCTCTTTGGAGTCTGCACATTCAGTTGTTCACCAGTGGCGCTTTCAAAGACAATAAAAAAGCTCTGTTTGTGTTGACAAAGATGATATAATACTGTGCTAATTATGCAACTTACTCAATACCTTTGGCAAAAAGAATAACAAATGTGTTGACTTCCAATTCCGAACTCCATCGTTTACAGTTTCTCATTTAATAATACTTCATTTGAAATTTAAATACTTCAAAACAGATTAAAACAAAAATAAAAAACAAACAAGCCCTATAGGATAAGAGGAACAGATAAAAATTGTCTCAGCTGAAAGGCAAAGAAAATGAAGCCTCACGGTTAAACTCAAGTCTGAACTGATTGTGCTTGTCTGAGACTCTAAAGATTGTTTGGGATGTCATTTACCAAGGTCTACTACCAAATAAATGTTACCTTCTGTCATATGATCAATTCTTCCTGACAGCTGCAGTCTTTTAATGGTGGAGATCAGCCTCTTTACTGCATAATTAAAATGTGCCATTTACTTAATATTTTTAATATCCAGTTTGCAAGGGGTCACCACATTTACAATTATCAATGAACAGTCTCATTTTGTCCAACATATGGTCCCACAAATCACTGGTCTCCAGAGGCTAAACAGGTGTAGAATGTCAATATTTATTTATTTATTCTTTCAGTTTATATAGCGTGTCTCCATTCCACTCTCCAGGCATATGCCAGCTCACAGCAAATACTCTAACCTGGTGTATTTTGGCTTTGCTTGGCTACTGCAGTCCCTGTCTCTTATCTCTGTGTTTTATTTACATATTGAACAAAAATGTCAATGTTTGTAAATATTAACCAAGCATGTAATTAAATCTTTCTCTATTTCTGATTTATGGATACTCTGCACTTCTCTGCCTTACCTACTGATCAGCTCCCTGCCACTGTGCTGCCTGAGCAGACCTATCAAATTCCTGCTGATGCTCCTGCTATTTCACATGAGGAATGTGCTGCAGCAGTAGCCCATGCCTGCTGGACAGGAACAGGTTTGACTTCGTCCAGTGAGCAGCAGCACTTTCTAATCAAAACTATCTTTTAAGGGTCTGATTACAGGGAGGTAACTTTATTATCATTTCTGTCTCCCACTGGGCAGTGTACTGGTGGAAATCCCCTTTCCTTTTCCATACTTATCAATTTAGAATGTTTTATGGCTGGGTTTTTTGGTTTTTTTTTCTTTTTTTGCTGAGCTTCCTCACTTTCCCTGCCTCGAGCAGAGCTGCAGCTGCACAGTCTTTGCCTGGAACACTGACTCGAGTTGCTAACACCATCTCACTCCTGGGCACCAAGCACACCTTTATCTAGGCAGCACTTTTCTCTATGCTGTGTGGGAGCTGGATAGCCTGTACATTGAGACACATTTTCATTTCTTGGTTTAATTTGTTTGATGTCCTGGAGATCTGTATGCAAGGGACAGCTCTCTGAACAGTCCATTTACAGAAGTTGTTTTCCTGTGTGGGCTGCAGGGCCCAAGCCAGGCAAGTATACAAACTTTGACTTAGGTGTGGCTTTCAGGGACACAAACGGAGTGCATGTCTCATTTTCAAGAGGAGGGTGGCTAAAATAATCAAAACCTGTGCAGGGGCTTTGAGTTCCATCTCAGAAGTGCCACACCAGGTGAGTGATCCGCTTTTGTTTCGGGGGCAGAACCAACACTTCTGTTTGTAAAGCCCAGGGCACTTCTGGATAATTGTGCCAAGTGTGTTTTCTGTGTCTCAGCTTAGCTTGGAGACTTTTATTCCTAGGTCTCATAGCTTACTACAGCTGTAGCTATGGAATCATTTCTAAAGTGCTGCTTCTGGAGAGCAGGGGGAGGGATCAGGATGGATCAGGACAACTGCTGAGCAGCAGCAGAAAGTGGCAGCAGTGGCCTGGGTTTGAGAAGCAGAGGGGGGCAGCTTCCTTATGCAAAGCAGCATGTGCCTCTTGGTTCGAGGTCTGAAAGGCAAGAAAATTGTTTATCATGTTTGTTCTGCCCTTTAGACACTTCTGCTGCTCTGGTTGTTGTCACCAATTGTCGGCACTGTGAATGGCAGTTTCAAACAGCTGTGCAGTTGCATTATATTGGTTAGGGGTGCCTCTGCCACAGAGCCTCAGGACAGCACATATGCTCCCGTTAGTGTCAGGATCCTGCTCTGGCTCTTAATCATCAGGCTCCACTGATTACAGAGGTCTTTCACAGCAACCTCTTAGTCACTAAAGTTTTTGTGTCACACTTTCCTATCTGGGTCTTTCTGCTTTTGTTGCAGGACCTACAGGACAGATGGAGGGTGCTTTGCTGCACCTGAAGTCAGAAAATGCCTCATAGCCCTTGCCAGATGAGCAAAATCCAGTTAATTATTGCCAGGTAAGAAAAGAGAGGAGTGTGGATGCAAAGAGCAAGCAGAGAGCACCCTGCTGTGGCTGCGGGGTCTCAGCTGGAAGGAGCAAGGATGGGAGAGCCAGGCTGGCATCACCTGCCACCTGCAGCTGGGCAGGTCTCCTGCAAAGGCTGCCTGCTGAGCTGAGGTTTCTGAATCATCAGGTCCTCACTCTGCCAACCTTCCATTGAATGTCTCTGGCTTCTCAAACTGCCATGGCTGCAGAATCCTGTGCGTGACCTCCTGATCCACCTGTGATGTTTTAAATTTTGTACTATTTTGGGCAGGCATATGACTCTGAACCCAATCTTCATACCTACCCAGCCTGCTGGTTTTGGTATGTACCTCTGACACAGTTTAGCTCAGTTTTTCCACACAGCCTTAAAGCTGTCCAGAACAAGAATATTATCCCGTGCTTGCTGGTTCTGTTGCCAGAGTCTGATCATCACAGTGGGAGAGCAGATGCCAGCACAACTCATTTATCCAGCTAGGAGTGTGCAAGGTAAGGGGACAAGTTGAAACCAGTGAGAACTCACTACGGCTTCAGGGAAAGAGGTGTTCTTACCAGTGAATAATGCAGCAGTCACTGACTGTCCTGTTTGGCAAAAAGTGCAGTTCTGTGCCCTGAATTCCTTAGATTTACACATTAAGGCTATTTATATCTGCAGCTAAGACTTTTGGGTCACAAGGTCTTGAAGAGCTGTACTGAAGAGCTATTCTCTGATCTTTTTCAGGCCACACCCATAAAGAATAATATTCTCTCCTTTATATAGCTTTAATTAAAGTATATAAATATATACTTCACAAGCAGCAGTGCAGCAGCACTAACAGCCTCTTCTGCCACTTTGGTGTCTCTTGAGCATTTCACACCCAAGTGCTGACTAAAGGAACACTCACATTTGATAAGCCAGTGTGCAGCAGTTCTGCTTCTGTACAGTAATGTTCTTGTAATCCTTTAAATTCTAGTTGTGGCTTACGATTTTCTTCTTAGTTTAGCAGCTTTTGAGCCAAGTTCCTGACTTTCAGAAGAGCTGAAACTTCTGTAACTCTTTTTCATCTAAATTTTGCCTTCCCCAGTTACCCTCCCCCAAACCTGTACAGACATTTAGTACATCAGTTGCAGAATGGTGGAGAAACAGATAATTGAATATTCACACATGCAGAAACAACCCAGGCAGAATGTGGAACAATGTGGAAACAGGCGCGAAAAGAGGCGGCATCTGTTTATTGAAAATTAAAATGTAGAATAAATTAAGAGGGCAAGGTTGAAATCTGCAGACAGAGTTTGTAAGGGAAGAAGACTGCAGGAAGTTTAGCACATAGATTGTGTAGAAAGGACTTATGCAGTTCTATTTTTGCAAAATGAGGAGTTTTTTCCCCTTCCAAGGACATGTTATAAAGGGATAAAGTGTCCACATAAAGAATGGTTTTCCCATAGAGATTATTATATATAGCAGTTTCACAGTAATGCCAGAATTAAAATGCTTAAAACGTTAATGTTGCAATGCTTCAAGCACTGAAGAACAGAGTAAGTATTTTTAGCAATACCCTTAATTCATATAAGCAAATGCTGTGCTAATTTTTCCACTGGTGCCTCTGCAGGTCATGCTGGGCCTTTCTAAAACAAATAATGAATTTAGCAAATTTGCATTTTTAATGCTTGTTTTGGTGACATTCTGCAAGGAGAAGGGTAGAGCCAAGATAGTGTTTGATGGACTGGCAAATGCAGTGAATTTGGTTGTAATGTGGAATTACTCTGCTGGCGTTTCCAAAAGCCTGTAAAGCTAGCACATCTATGCATAGAGGATCTGAGCTTTTGCTTTTTTTTGTTGCTGTTTTTGTTCTGTACGTACCTTTGCACTTTGTACATTAGGCTTACAAAAGGTTTATCACTTTAAAACTGCTCAAGTAGACAAAAGCCATATCCTAGTCATTCATCATAAAACAAGCTTAATTATGCTAGGACATATTGACACTGCATCAGATTTTTAATCTTCAACATAATTTTATCACCATTGCTAACAGATGGGCTGATTACACTGAATTTGATTTTTAAGTAATAGTTAAAAATTCTAAAATATGATTAAACTGGAAATACCCATTGCATACCTAATTTTCAAAAAGCTTCTGAAAGAAGGAAAACCAGAGTGCAGTAAAACCTCTTTTTTGTTTCCTGAGGGAACTATATTGCATTTAAGTGCAGAGTTATCAAAGTTCCTTAGATGAACAAGCAGTTTATACTATTGGCAGCTCCTCTTCTGTCCAATTACAACCCATAGGCCAGGACCTTATTTTTTCCATGGGTCTGCTGCTCTATTCCAGCATAAAAGACAGGAACTTGTCTATTTCAGAACCTCTTTTTTATCAAAACATGTACCCTTACCCTTGCCCTTTTTTCTTCATTGAAAATGAAAGCAAAGACTAAAATTAGGATGTTTCTGCTCTTCAGTAACAGTAACAAATGTAGAATTCTTATGAAACAGAGGGACAG